CTGAGCGCGGACGTGGCTTGGCTAGAGAAATCGGACTCGCGAGGCGTGGGAGAATCCGCAGTGTGGAAAGGCGTGTGCAGAAGCTGAGAAGTACATGTGTTTCGCTGGCGGATGGGCGTTCGCGGCCTGCAAATGCGCTGTCGACGGTCGTGAAACCTACTTCGCGCGCGAGTGGACTCTCGTTGGGCACGAGAAGCATTTCGGCCCGCGAACCAAATTGAGTTGCACGCCTTTCACTGGTGAAGTGGGACTCGCATGCCGCGAGCGCGCCTTCGCTGGGCGCGAAATGACTTAGCCATATTTTAAGAATTTTCTCCCCAAACTTTCAACTCAACTCTCGAGCATAATTTTTGCTCGATTCTTGACCCGTTTTTCGCCCAAATAATATCCGTACTTAGCCCAAATTTTCCACACTTCGCCACATTTCAACCCAAATTTCAACATAAGCTCTGCTACAAGTCCCGCTACCTTCTTCGAAAGTACCGTGTGTCGTGTGATTTGCAAGGCTATTTATTCTCGAAAGACAGCGAAAAGCAAGAAAACGCAAAAACTGTGGGTTGCCTCCCACGAAGCACTCATTTTAACGTCTTGAGCTCGACGTCCTCAAATCGAATCAACTTCCAAGAAGAAATGGCGATCATGCCACATCTTTGTATTCTCCAAAAGAAGTCGGGCTGGGAGAATTGAACAAGGCGGACCCAATGAAATCTCGTGCCCTCATTCTCTTGAAACCGAGCACGGATATCAACAACCACCAAGAGAAGAGATAATGCTTTACGAACCAAGGCCCCATACTCGACCTCCGAAAATATGAAAATGTCCGTGGAGCACGTCGAATCGATCCCAATCATCATGTGTATCATCTCGGATGCGTACTCATCGATCTCAAGCATCGGGAGCATGGGTGTGGACACGCTAGACTCTTCCAAATAGTCACGATTCTCAACAACACGAAATGACGACCCAAAGGACATTGGAACCACGTCATACTCAACATCACAAGTCAAATCATCAATCAACGCACACTTCGGGTCCACGACATCACATAATGGCTTAGAAACCTCCTCAAAAACATCCACCACATCATCAAATACCTCATCCTCCTCCTCAAAATCATCCTCCCGAGTACCATCAAGTCCTCTAGAATCACCAAAATCATGAATAGGCAGAATCAACTCCCCAAATGAATTATCACCCATGCCATACACCATTTCAACCCCCGATTCCATATGCTCACTCTCAACTATAGAAATCGAACTCAAAGCACAATCACCGGAAGAAAGAATTGACGTACCTAGTGTGGATTGCACGGCCGAATCGTCAAGAGAGGGGACTTCTTTAGCAACCAAATCGTCGATGTCCTCACTCGTGTCGAGAGGTTGCATATCGTCATAAACGGGAGTGGGGGCCCATCTCTTTCAAGGAGGCAAACCTATCCACCATAGCTCGAAATTCTTCCTCTAACTGAGTACTCTCCTGAATAATCCTCACCGATAGAGAACAATATCTACCGAGCGGAATGTGAGAGGCATCCAAATCAAGAAAAGAGACCACGGTAGAGTCGAACTTCATGAGTGTGATTTGAAGAACGAATTGAATGGGAATGCTCTTCCAACTATGAAACTCCTCAATGATCGACATGAGGCTCGCACGTGCCTCTTGAGTGCTCGTCAAAACATCTCGGTGACATTCGGTCCACTCAACCATTGTTGGAATTGAAGCTTCGGAACCCAATGTACAAGGTTGGCCAACCGATAGGTGCTCGTATGATGGAGAGGGTGGAGCATAGGACTCGGTTTCTTCTTTTTCGGATATAGGAGCCATTGAAGCGCGAAGGGATTGATTGCACTTCTCAAATGTCTCCATAATCACGTCTAAATGGCCTAGAGAAGCTTCTCGAGTCGGCTCGAGTGGAGGTGTGGCATCATAAAAATCAGGAGGCGGGGGATAGTTGTGAGGCGTCTCGTCGTGACCCGGAGAGTAATAATGAAAATCAACTTGAGATGGCAGGTACAAATGGCTCGGATACGGATAGGGCGGCCCTCCATATGGGTACATCTCCTCATGTTAGTTGTCAGGGTATCCACGAGACGAGCTACCGGCATAAGTATAACCGTATGGATCCATCGGAGCTCCTCAAGCGAAGTACCTCGCGCAAGAACAACAAACACCAAGGCACACGAGACAAAGAAAAGAAAATAGAGAAACACAACTAACACGACACGATATTTACAAGAACACACATATCAAAAAGCAAGAGAAATGGAAAATAAACAAATAATCAAGAGAAACACGCAAAATCAAGCAAAATCTACAAAAAGCAAGAGAAACACGAAAACAAACGACAACTAGATAGTAAACTTGGCGTCCTACTCACTTTTCCCGAAAAAGGCGCTATTTTGTTTGTAGTATTTTTTGGCATGTGGTAACCGAGCTACCTGACTCGGGTCGTTCTCAAAGGAAGGCTGTTCGGAGCTTCGTTCACTACAAAGTCGTCAAAGTCACATAACCAAAAACAAGATCCTACACATTCTACTCGCTTGATTGGGGATGATTGCACGAACTTAAACTAAAAATCTAGAGCAAATGATGGAAAATGCAAATATAGAGAGAAAGATCGAAACTTTAGTCTACCGGAATCTCCATGACTCAAGAAAAGAAAATAAACAAAGAGAAAACATGCGAGCATAGTGATCCTAGATAATCTAACACGAGCTTTCTACATAGAAACGAGCATACACATAATTCGACAACACAAACTCGAAGTAGAAGGGCCTAAGCAAGGTACCTACTCTCCTATCGCATGCTTGAACGAAAATAGTGAATAAAGCTCGAAACTTGGATAAAAATAAACTTGCCAAAATTTCGCCGGCAAAATAGAGTCATGGACCTTCAAACTGAAGCATAAAAAGAAAAGAGAGAAAATGGAGAGGATTTCCCAACTTAAAAGTTGGGAAATGAGGGGTGATGTCCAAAATTACAAAGCACAATGTCTATTTATAGCTACACCACAAACACGCACTAAAAACACACACATTAATGATGAAAACTCGCAAGTTAGCTCGAACTCGTGAGCAAAGGCTGGATTTTCGCGGGTAAAAGGCTCACTCGCGAGTGTGGCTTGGGCGCTGGGGCAAAACTCGCGGGCTAGGCATGGGTTTCCGCGGGCGCGAGTCGGCTAGCTAGGAGATGTGGCACTGGAACTCGTGGGAGAAGAGAATTTCGCGGGCGTGGGTCGTGAAACTCGTGGGCAGGCCTGGCATGCGGGGAACTCGCGGACAACACAGGGCTTCGCGGGCGCGGAATCATGAACTCGCGGGCACTGGGCGCTGTTGGGGGAACTCGCGACCTTGCGAGCTGCTTCACGGGCGCCAGTTGCTTGACACGTTTGGCAGAGCTTGAGTGAAGACTCGCAGCGAGTGTGCATTGGTTGGCTACCTTGGGAGCGCTTCGCCGGGCGCGAGTGCTTGTTCGCTGCGAGTGCCAGGGCCTGGGCTGCTGTGGGGCGCGGTTCGCTCGGCGCGACTTGCGTTTGGCTGCGAGTTCGTGGCTTGGTACGGGCATACCTTGACTCGGAATTGGCCCGGGATGGCTCGGAAATGTCTCGAAAATGGCTCGTAATTCCAAACATAGTAATGATGGACCTATTCGACACCAAAAAGACAAGAAAAATACGCCGAACCACAAAAACACAATACGAGAATAAAAATGCATGAAACACGATAAAATGGACCGATCGACGCTAAAACGGACCTAAAAATACTAAACTAAAGCGCATAAAATACACGAAAATAAGCACAAAAACACAATAAACAGTACACCATTACTCTTCTCCGCCCTCCATCACCTTTTTTCGATTTTTAAATCTTCCTCCTCTTTGTTTTCTGTTTGTCCATTTTTTCAGATTCCGCCACCTCCAGTGAGACTGACCAATATTCCAGCAACAATACGAGCACCACGCCGTCCTCTTCCACCTCTACCCAAAATTCACTCCTTCGACCTCCCCCTCCGTGGAGGACGAACTTGACTCATCCTTCTTTCGACCTACTTTCTTTTCCACCATAAGCCGTCCTCCTCGCCGACCACTAAAATTGCGCTACGACCGAGACCGAAGACGAGGAGAAAGCAGCCTCTCATCCTCATCTTGCTCAATCATCTCGCCCCATTCCTGGTGCTATGCTCGAGATGTGAAATGTTTTGTTCGTGTATAGGTGTTTAATTAATTAAATAATGTTATTAATTAAAAATATAAGAAATGATGGTTTCAGTATATTACTAATTTGCTATTAAAAATATATTAAAATAATTTTTTTTTTATGTAGTTCATTACTGTATTACTAATTTGTCATTAAAAATATGTCGAAGTAAGAGTTTTTTAGACAATTCATTTTTTTACAACACTATTCACCATTTTGTCATAGTAAACATTGGAATAATATGTAGACCTTTGGGTAGTTGCATAATAAGAACGAGTCGGGTGTTTAAATCTTTTTTAAAAAAATCTATTAGTATCTGAATGTAATAGCCGATTTATAGTTGTTTGTCTCTTATTCGCTCATTAAGACTCATATAGTAATCTGTAACTACAACCATAATTCAATGAAACGTTTATTCAAACGGCTACATCAAAGATTGAGTTGCTACCTTGCAAGGGTGTTAGAACTGGAGGAAGAAGGTACGGTCCCACCAGATGAAACGCACCATAAGAGGGTGAGCCTAGGTGCACCTTAGTGAGATTCCATCCCAAAATCAATTGGTGATGGAAAGAGTATCCCACTAAGCTTATAAACTAGGGTCATTACCCTATCAAATTAATGTGGAACAACTCACAAGTGATTTCCAACAAATGGCAATTGATACTGAAAGTAGCTTTTGAGTAGATAGAGTGGTACAAAAATCTCATAGAAG